GCACCACTTAACTGTATCACACAGAAGACCCAACAAACTTGAACATATTTTTCTTTAAAGAAGGATTCTGCTGATAAGATATCAAATGATCCCACAGGCAAGATACTTTTGATGACACAGTATCCCGGAAACCTAATAGTATCTCGATGATTCATGCTAAACAATATGAATTTACTATTTAGATACGAAATTTACCTTATCAGATGCGCAGTGTCTTCCAATGGCTGTCTCCTGTAAGATGTGAGCTGCAATCTATCATTGCACCAGTGTGGAAAAAGAGAAGTTAGTACACATGACGAATGATTTGAGGTAAGGCCTTAATACGTTCCCAGAATCTTACAACTTAAGAGATAAATGAAAACAAGATGGAACATCTACCTCACCACCATTGATGCCACCCTCGTAGCAAGGTTTCAAGCTAACTGCACGTTCAAGATATGGCTTCCATTGGCCCATTAATAGGTCTCTCCTGATCATCTCAACACCACATTGATAAAACTGCCAAAGAAATTTGACCAGAAAATCTGAACATACGATCCACATTTTTAAATTGAAAGAACTGAGGTAATAAAGGACAAGAAAATCAATATAAAAAAAGAGGATTTAGCTGAACCTCAAGCATATTTCTCAGAAAAGGTTCCTCATTGAAATAATCTCTGCGTACAAAGACAAACGGCACCTTGTACGATAGGGCTTCACTGACAGTGCCATAACCAATTTTCCCTGAAACCATGGAAACATGTAATATAGAAACGCCACTAGCAATCTAAATTCATTGAATATATCTTAATCAGGTTACTAACCAAGCATACAGTCAGATGCAGCTATAATATCAGGCGTATAAGCATCCTTAGCAAGCTTTATAAAATTTGGTGGAAGCTCCTGGGTCTCAGATGCGCCACAGACCTGAATAACATATTGACAAGTTAAATAACCAGCATAGAATCCTCAACTTGAGAGTAACTAACTATACATAAAACAGATGCAGGGAAAATGTTAAGAGATACCAGACACAGCCAGCCAGTCGGTAGTGATGTTTCCTTCAAGTTCCACCCTGAGGGCTGCACACGAGAAAAAGACATGACCAATGAGCATGTTTATGAGATATATTATGCATGATCAACCAGCAACAATGTAAATACACATTAAACATAAAGTCAGAGCATTATTTTGGAGAAATATAAAAAATCATGAAACTCTTAAATGGAAGAACAGACAGTCATACCTGTCCGCCAAAATTAAGTATAACAACATTCACATCTTCACCAATACCGAGTTCTTTCCTCACCTGATCATAAGGAGCATTAGATGTTATTTGGATTAGTTGTGCCACTGAATATAAGATCAATGAAATGTTGTTGACAGACCTCCTTGCGAGATTTATGAAGTCTCCTCACAACTAACGGTACATCAATAACATCACGAAAAGCAGGCACTACGAGATAACAAGGAAATAAAGTTAAGGCAGTAGAGAAGAATACACTAGGAAGAAATGAAAGAAGATTTTTAAAAATTGTAATTAGAGATGCTGCATACTTGGACAATATCCTGGGAGGCGGATTAGGAACTCGCAATGAGAATAATCTTCAGCTATCTATGTCATGGAATAAAAGTATTGAGTATTTATTTATCACCTCCTACTAGCCAATAAAAGGGTATATAAAACTTGTTTAGAGAATTCTACCTGCCAAACTATGGAGCGATGGTGATATCCAGCAGCCATCACGTACTCAGCATAGATAAAATCCCAGCTAAAAGTAGCATACAAAAGTAAAATAAAGTTTTAAACATTTTTTCACTATAACTGGAGATTTTGAATGGTAGAGACAGAGTTACAGGCCGTGAACAAGGACTGAAACCAGGAGAAGAAATCAGGCCAGCCAAACAAGACACACAAAAATGGATAGTAGTAGTAGTATAACAGCAAAAATGTCACCTGAAATTGGTAACACAGACAGAACGTATCCCAGCATCAGCCGCTGCACGGCACGCGACGGGGACAACATCAGACACCTGTTTTTAACAAAGGTTTCTCTTGGTATGAAATTGATGGAGTACAAAGCAAAAGTATTTGATGTAGAAAAAAGTTGTGTATGAACAAAAACAATTACCACAAAATCGGCTTTGATAGAATGAAGCCACTCCACTTCAGTTTCCAATATTTCAGCTCGAGGAACCACAGCTGTTTCGACATACTAAAGCACACCAGTATCGAAATGTTAACAAAGCCAAAATGTAAATTCAAGGGAAGACTAAAATGGACAAGAATCAGTAAACCTTTTCTAACGAGGCAAGACGATCAACGGTCAATGCATCAGCTTGCACAGCCCCACAATCCAAAAGAACCTAACAAGTAAGCAATTCCATATAAGAAGACCAAGCAAGTAAATCATCACCAGAAGAAGAAGTAAGAAACCTTTCGAATTTTGAGCCTCGGTGACTGAATTTCGGATGTGAATACGAAATCAGGCGCGCCGGTGACAACATGAACATCATGCCCCGCCGCGATCAGGTGACGGACAACCTGAAAACACCACGAATTATCCGGATTAACCACAAGCGAACGATCAAACGAATGAACAATGAAAGAGGAAAATAAAACGACGAATGAATCAGAAATGAGATCGATGCAGAGAGAAAGAGAGAGTGAGAAGGAGAAGGTACCTCGACGACACGAGTGGCGTGACCGAAGCCATGTCCAGTGACGTAGTAAGCGAAGACTAGGTGCTTGCTTGAAGCAGAGACGCCTTCGTTCTCATCAATCCTCATTTTCTTCAGCAATCTCTGAGAGGACGATTCGATAATTGACTAATGCGATGCGAATTGCCAAGGAAGGAAGAAGGAGAAGAAGAAGAGAGTCTATTAAATCTCCAATTTCTTTTTTTGCAATTTTGTTCTTTCGCTCATAAATCTGAACTAATAACTGAAATTAATTTTAAGGTTTTTTTTGGTTCAAAATCATTAGATTTATTTATTTTTAATGCGAAGAAGGGTTACGTAAACACTCTCTCGCAATTCAAGAAAAAGGATAAAACGAGTTTCGTGTCTGAGATTTTATAAATGGATAAATAGATATAAATTCCAACTATATAAATTAAAATTTGCACTATTCGAAAAGTTGGACTGCACAAATAATTAAAAGTACTATGTTTTCTTATCTTAAACTCTCTCTAGGACAAGAACAAAAAGAAAAAGAAGAAAATGATTTGTCGATTTGGACGTATAACTACAATTGATCTTATCCGCACATATATATGATCATTGTTATTGTAAATTTGAAATTTAATTCTCAACATTTTTAACTAATCTCTGAATATTTTTGTATAAAATTTCTAAATATAGTACAGAAATTTACATATTAAAAAAAAAAACTATCTACACTGGCAATTACCAAGTTGTAGGAGTAGCGGTTGAAGATAAGGTCATCATTTAAATTTTATTTTATCTTTTACCTTTCTGACGAGGCAGATGATATCTGTGACAAAACCCAAGTAGACAAAACATAGTATTCTTATCCATTATTTAAAGTTTCTGAAAAGTAAGGCACCGTTTTCTGTTGGACGAATCATTTGTGATCAGCAACAGAGTTTAAGGGGAAGATATCAAAGAAGACAGTAGCATCAATGTTTAATATTCTTGTCTGGTCGAATGATTGTAAACAATGTTAATAATGGATTGGCGGTTATTAGTGTCTTGATGATCTAACTTGGCATGAAGATTATTATCTCATTGCTTTCTTAAATCTTAATTAAGCTTAACAGTGAAGACCAAGCATGCATTTCACGGAAGATGTCTAGCTAGTTAGTTACTAGTGATATATCCTCTCTTGTATCGGGCTTTACGTTTTATTTTGAGTTTGGGCTTTTCATTATTTTGGGCTTTCTTATTTTGGGCTTTACTCAAGTTATTTTGTTTTAATCACCAGATTCGACAAAGATACACTCTTATACTATGAAGTATGAACGATAACACAAGGGATTTGTGCAAAAAAACCCTCCAACTCGCCCATTTTTGCAACTTTACCCTCCATCTCCGAAAAATGCAGATTAATACTACGAAGTCCCAAATAATACGCAATGTAACCCTTATTCGTTATCGTCAAGTTCGTAAAATTTTGACAAATAATATATCAAATCGAAGCCCTCGCGATGAAGAGTTCAACTCTACTTTTAGAATTTAAAAAAATCAATGTATGTGACCGAAAAAACGTTTACAATATACGTATAAGGGTTATATTGCACATTATTTTGGACTTCGTAGTATTAATCTGCATTTTTCGGAGATGGAGGGTAAAGTTGCAAAAATGGGCGAGTTGGAGGGTTTTTTTGCACAAAACCCATAACACAAAGTCATTAATGAACACATTATATCAAAAGAATTATTTTGGTTTTACATCCAAACAGCTTAATATCGCAAAAAGTGGAATTTGGCAATGATACAAACATTGCTTTACTATTCAAGGGAAACACTTCACATTTTACCAAAAAAAAAAGGAAGTCCTCGAACTCATATGGACTCGGAATGTTGAAAAGAGATGGTTTTAGAGGAAGATGTATTGATGTTCATACCATTTTTATTAGCAAACCATGCTTGAACACTAGATAAAGATTTGGTATGTTGCGAGTTGCGACAGAACTCATGTGCTCTCTCTCACTTGGAAAATTACAAATCTATAGTTTTTTTTCTTTTTTTTTGCAAAAATGAAGTTTTTGTTAAAACTCGGTTTGTTTTTTTTATCTTCACTTCTTTTATAAAATAGGTTTTGAAAAATTATATCCAAAGAAAATAATATTTTTATGTAGTAATAATGTAAGATTTTTTGGTCCTCCATAAAGTTTCTTAGATTTTTTAACAATAATAATTTAAAAAAAAAACCAACAAAGGCTCCAGAGAAGAATTTGAATTGCAAAGACGCACATTTTCATTACAGCTTGCACTAACGCGGTCGCTTTATCAGTCACCATCTCTTCAAAAAGCTTCCATTTTTTCTGAGTCCTCTCAATTTCAAATTCAAAACCTTCTCTTGTTCCCAACAGATTTAGGGTTCATGGCTTTAGCTCCCAACTTCATTCCTCGGCTACTCCTACTCTCACTTCTCATCGTATCAATTCCTCTAACGTCATCTCAATCCGACGCCAACACTACTAATCCGCCACCGTCAGATTCGGATCTATGCAACGGCGTATTCGTATCATACACTCACACAAAAGGATCTAAGATCCCACCTAACGACACCGCAAATCAACCCTACCGGTTCGAATCTGTGATAACAGTGCTCAACCACGGTCGCGACGAGCTCAAATCATGGCGTGTCTTCGTCAAATTCGCTCACCGAGAGATCCTTGTGTCTGCTTCAAACGCTGTACTCTCAGACGGCTCGAGCTTACCTGTGAGCGTCGAAAACGGCACCGTATTCGCTGGTTATCCTTCGTCGGATTTGAAATCGGCTATTCAGACTGCGGGTGATGTTACTCAGATGCAAGCTCGTGTTGAGCTCGTTGGGACTCAGTTCGGAGTTGCGCCGCCGAATGTGCCGCTTCCTAAGAACATTACTCTCGCTATTGATGGATGGAAATGTCCCAAAGCTACTCAAAAAGGTTGGAATTTGATTTTGGTTACTTGATTTATGGCTTCATACACTTTTGGCTGATCTTGGTTTTTGCTATATTTAGGAGTTTTTGTTTGCTGATCTTGGTTTTGCTAAGTATCTAGTGTAGATCCCTATAATCAAGGAGGAATTTTAGATTAGTAGAGATAGTCAAAACTCCAGCAAGAATTGTATTGTTTAAGTCCCATGTGCTCACTCATGGATAAAAGTCTTATGTTTGTTACTTGTTAGCTTCCTATTACACCTAATGTTTGAATTAGTCAAATGTGAGAGTCTTTGCAACACATTAGATTCTTTGTGATTGATCTGGATTCAGGGGAACCTGAGCAATCATAAGAGCCTTAAGATCTTCTGCAGAAGTAATTGAATAGCTAGTATATGAATTGATCCACTTTCATCACGTTTCTAAATATGAATCTGTTGATAAAAGATCTTCTTGTTCTTTTTAACTATCATTGCTATCTTTGTGGTTTAGTTGAATTTTTCTGTGTTTTTCTCTATTTTGTCAGGTAAAAATGTTCTGCAAGTATGTTGCACGCCTGACCCAGACTATGATAACACAGAGATCATTGATAATGAGTTCCTTCCTCGACAAGATGGAGACCTTACTATCATGTACGATGTGGTCAGATCATATTCATCGAATTATATGGCACAAGTCACAATGGAGAACCATAACCCGCTTGGTCGACTGGATAACTGGAAACTGAGTTTTGACTGGATGCGGGACGAGTTTATCTACACCATGAAAGGAGCTTACCCGAGTATTGTTGATTCATCAGATTGTGTTGATGGCCCACAGGCGAAGTACTTTCAAGATCTTGACTTTTCGAATGTTTTAAGCTGTGCAAGGCGGCCAACCATCATAGATCTCCCTCCTACGAAATACAATGATTCGACGTTCGGTCTTATCCCATTTTGCTGCAGAAATGGGACGATACTACCACGGTCAATGGATCCTAGCAAGTCGAGCTCAGTTTTCCAGATGCAGGTGTACAAAATGCCTCCGGATCTCAATATCTCTGCTCTATCACCGCCTCAGAACTGGAGAATCAACGGTACACTGAACCCGGATTACAAGTGTGGCCCTCCTGTTCGGGTGAGCCCGAGCCAATTCGCCGATCCCAGTGGGTTACCCTCAAACCGGACTGCTTTTGCGAGCTGGCAGGTGGTCTGCAACATCACCCAACCAAAAGATGCGAGTCCTAGATGCTGTGTATCGTTCTCTGCCTACTTCAACGACTCAATCGTCCCGTGCAAGACTTGCGCTTGCGGTTGTTCCAGCAATAAAGCAGCTCGCGCTTGCAGCACTACAGCCCCGTCTCTTCTTCTACCCCAGCAAGCTCTTCTGGTTCCATTTGAGAACCGAACTGAACTCACTGGCGCTTGGGCTTATCTAAAACATCGGCCCGTGCCAAACCCGATGCCTTGTGGGGATAACTGCGGGGTTAGCATCAATTGGCATTTGGCTACAGATTATCGAGGCGGATGGACAGCCCGGGTCACAGTCTTCAACTGGGGCGAAACAGATTTTGTAGATTGGTTTACCGCAATTCAGATGAAAAACGCTGCCCCGGGTTTCGAGAAAGCCTACTCATTCAATGCATCTACACTTGGTATCAACGGGGAGAACAACACTATTTTCATGGAGGGCCTTCCCGGATTGAATTATCTCGTGGCGGAAAGAGACGGGGAGAATCCGTTGAAGAATCCTCGGATTCCCGGGAAACAACAGTCTGTTATTTCCTTCACCAAGAAACTGACTCCTGGGATTAATGTCCCTGGTGGAGATGGCTTCCCGAGCAAAGTGTTCTTCAACGGTGAGGAGTGCTCTCTCCCAACCATACTACCAGTGAGAAGCAGTCAACACCGGAGACACATCTCTGTTTTCCTCCTGGCATTACCTGTTTTGGCTCTCTTGATTCTACGGGCGTAACTACACTGAAACCTCCTGTTGGGTTGGCGATACAGTTTCTTGATTCTTCCCGGTTTACTCGAAAACGGTCAATTCCGCGGTTTATGGATGGAGAATCAATCGATTCTTTTTCAACCTGTGATAAGTGTTGGAAGAAGCTTTATATAGGTGCTATGAAGATATATGTTACCATTCTTGTATTGTTTAAGATTAGAGTTTTTCAGTAATCACTAATCAGTATGTATACTATATTTTGTTTACTCTTTCTCGGCCATTGATTTGTTCCTAATCCTCTCCAAACCGGTATTCATATAAGTTCACAAATGACCGAACCATCAGTTCTTGTCTGAAAAGCAAATAGCAAAACTGGTCAAGACTCAAGAGTGAGTTTTGTGGATTTTTGTTCATTGATCGTATCAAATGCCGTATTTTTATTATTATGAAGCAACAACGCATAGAAACATATTTACACAAAATGTTCCTAAAACTCAAAAAGAGAGAAGCAAAACATTTCTAATTATCGGAAATTAGACGACCCCTAAATGTCAACAGTCTTGTTGTAAGACCTAGACAGATGTAGAAATAAAATAACTCCAGGAAATTCACATTACTCCTAATATCCAAAAAGAAAACTATTATTGTCTTCTATAATCTGCTTTTGAATTTCCTGCAGATTATCATCTAAAGATACAACACATGATCTTTTCTATTTTCCCCTTCGATTATCGCCATTTGTTGAGCTTTGTACCTTGAAGGAGGGAAAAGAAAAACTAAGAATCTTGCAGTAGTCTGAGTTTCTGTAGTCAGACCGGAATATTATCGATGGAGTATCCGTCAAAATCGAACTCGTTATCTACCGATGGAATGCCTTCCTGCATTTATCCATGACAATGAAGTAAGTGTCAAGCTATCAATTGCATAGTTGTGATGTTCATGGCTGTTTTAGAGTGCACTATATTGAAAACTTTGTTAATATTGTGTAATGTTGAATTTTCGAGTAAGAATCAAACCTGTTTGAGAAATGCGCTCATCAGGTCTTCTTGATTATACTGCTCTTGAAACAATGTATTTGCTGGAGGACAAGTCACGGTCTCCGCCACTCTTTCTGACTTCACTCTGACTGAACCACCATCCATATAAACGTGGTTCAGATGATTCAGATTCCGGCTTGGTGGCTGCAGGTTCTGCCCATGCTCGGCCATCATTGTTGCGTCTGTTTCCCGCCTTTTTCTCTGTGTGGAAGACGAAGAGTATGCTTCCGAAGTGGAAAATGCAGCGGTGGTGGCAGTTGCTGCGTCCTGATTGGAATTGAAGACTAATCCCATATTCCGCAGATCCCAATCGTTAAGTTTGTTGCTGATGTTGTTGTTGTGCTGTTGGTGCTGCGGAAAATCATTAAATATGTCGTAGGTTGCGTTACCAAACCCTGCAGTAGCCGCGGTAGCAGCTGATGAACCGCCTTTGGCGTCCGAGCTGTTGACCTCTTCTTGGTAAGAAGCCGACATTGGAACTGAAATCCCTGGGGCACTTGCCAATGGGAAGCTATTGCGAGGTAGATCCGAGGGGAAGTTATTGAAGACCGAGTGGGTAGTTGGTAACACTCTGCTGTTGGTCTCTGGGATACTGTTTCTAACCGCCACCACACCAGTGAGATCGCTTCTCCTTGACACGCTGCTTGACAATATCGGCTGTTGCCCAAGGGATGGTAGCATTGATGGCCCTCCTCGAGGTAGCTGGTCTGCTACAGGTAACATCATTCCCCTGCTCTGAACATTCTGTCCAGGACGCACACCAGTGATTTGTTGCTGCACACGCATGTGACTACCTGCGAATTGTTTTGGTTCCATACCCGTAGGGACACCATGAAGTAAATTCATCTGCTTATTACCATTGTTCATCGTCGGCCCATGTCCATCACCAAATCTTATTTTCGGGTTTTCAAAGTTGACGATGGTTCTCTGATCTACAAGGGGAGAAACTGACATCCCCGGATTAGAGAGTGTAGGCCGACCAAGGCCAGCTGCTTGAAACTGTGTAAGGCTCTGAGCAGGAAGCTGACCCGCAACAGCTAGATCAAATCCATTCAACGAAGAAAGATGACCAAAACTCTGATCTTGACCAGTCATAAACGAATGGTTCATATTTCCTTGGTGCTGCGATACTCCTCCAAGCCGTCTCAGATATATCCGATACTTCTGCAATTCCACAATGTTATACCACTGTTAGAACACATCAACAACGAAAACTGTAATACTATTCGATCACATATCTACCTGGAGATGACTGGCTACGTTTTCTCGCGTTAGCCCGGGTACATTCATCATCTCTAAGATCTTCTTAGGGACCGCTTCTGCATTGGATGCCCAAGACGGTAAGATTAGACAAGAAAACTAACATTAACACACACAAATGCATAAGCAAGCAAGTTTTTAACTTACTGTCAACGCCGAGCTGATTCACAGCAGCGACAAACTGCTGATGCAATTCAACCGACCAAACCACGCGTGGTTTCTTTAAACTCGAAGTGTCCTCCTTATCATCCCCTTGCTCATCTACTTCCTCTTCCTTTCGCTTCCTCGAGCTCCTCCAATTCCCTTCATTAATCGAAGACGAGTTGTTATCAGCATCCTCCCTCTGCTGCTGCTGCCTGTCCCTGTCACCGCCAGTATCTTCAATACTTCCTCCAGAATGTTCCGAAACATTCCACTCGTTCCGCTTCTTCCGCACCACATGTTGCCATATATTCTTCAAAGCCTCAATACGTACCGGTTTGATGAGGTAATCAACTGCACCGTGAGTCACTCCTTTCAACACAACGCTCTTCGAATCATCCGCAGACATCACTATAACCAAAGATTTCAAACATTCAGATCTCAAGAGAACAATCAGAGTCAATAAAACGATAATAAACGTTTAGTGATTAGTAAACGTACTGATAACAGGTAAATCCATCTCTAAACCAACGTGTTCGAGAAGCTTGAAACCATCCATGTCAGGCATATGAACATCACTGATAACAATATCAAAACCATTCTTGTTCTTCCGAAGCAGAGACAATGCGATCTCTGCTCTGTTACATTTAGTTACTGTAATAACAGAATCAGAGTCAAAGCTAAAACATCAAAAAAAACAAAATTTTGAAAAAAATATAGATAATCAAAGTATTAAACAGAACTGGATCAAAATAAATACCAGAATCAAACTAACTCTTGAGATTTTTGGACAAAATTTAAGGAATTTGAATCACACTCTTCTTGAGAACTAAAAGATCTATTGAACATAAACCTTAAAATCAGAATCTTTAAGCAGATCACAAATGATATTGGAACAGAACAGAGGACTAAGCTATATATAACTCTGAATCTAACAGTGATTCATTCAACAGTCAATGAAATTTTTCTAGTCAATTCCATAAGCTCTGTTTTCTATTTTTGGCAGAGTCAACTACCGTAATTAAAAACCCTTAATTAAGAAAATTTACAATAAATTTCCACAAATTGGACTATAAATCAACAAGAACCTTTGAAAGTAATAAAATTTAGATTGAAATTAAAAACGAGTTTTTGATTTAATTACCTCTGTAGAGACAAGTCCTAAGCATCCTCTCTAAGATCATGAGACAAGTTGGATCATCATCAACGACAAGAACTCGAAGATTCGCCGGAAACGGGTCCGAGTTCGACCCACCACCAGCAGTACCCGAATCGGGTCCTCTTCCGTGACCCGGATTTAACATCTCCCTCGTCCCGAAAACGAACGATTAGAGCAGAAGAAGAAGGAAGAGACACAAAGTTTGAAACAGAGAGAATATATGCCTAAGAAAAAAAGAATTGACGTGGTTTTGATTCTAAGAATTGGGGATTACAAAACAAAAAAGGTAAGAAAATTTGATACCAAGAAGATGAGATTTTGAATATTTTTTTTGAGAATTTTGGGGTGAAATGGAATAATAAATAATTAGTGGAAAGATTTAAGTTTGAGATGTGAGAGTTGAAGAAGGCATGGCTTTGTCTCTCAGCTTGAAGCTCGATTTCTCTGTTACAGATTTTTTTTTTTTTTTAGTAAGTTCTGCTAATAATTTTTTAAAAATTTAAATATGAAAATGTTATACAGTATTATATAGTTTATAATATATACATGTATGTGTATCTTTGTATATAAGTGGTGCAGAAATGTCCTTTATGTTTTACTCTTCTCCAGATATAGACTATGTACTTTATCAAGTTTACTTTTAAATACCCTTTTCTGAAATGCTAAATTACCAAACCTAAATCCAAAACCTACTGAACTCTATATAAATTATTGGTACACATTTTCTTCTTACAAGTGATTGATGCTTAATAGAAATTTTTTTGTTTCACATACTTTATTTAGAGAAATATTATTTAATCTCTTATAAACTTTTTTTAATTTTGTTTAGTTTGTTTAAGATAATAGCCGCTAAGTTATTAATTGACCGATAATTAATAATTAGTTAGTGTTTTTAAGTTCTTAGTTTGGATTTTCTCTTTTGCAGTGTTGTACAAATTTTTTTTAGTCTTTTGTCTAGTGTAAAATAAATTTATACTACTTTTATAACAATTATTTTTAAATAGATTGTAAATTCTTTATTATTTATAGTATTCGTCTAAATCTCGCGCGAGTACTTTGACCTTCTACTCATGAGCATTATCTAGTAGACCTTCTTATTATGTACATGTTCCAGTGATTTTAATGTGTTTAAACTCGTATGCGCATTCGTTTCAATTTTAGACGTGCATTTTCTTTAGGTATAAACTAAAATATAGTAACACTTTAGCTGTTATATTATCGAATTTGTTTTATTTTTTTGATATGATCATGATATTGTATGTATTTTAAACGAAATGGTGTATGTAAAAAAAATATATAGTAATTTTTAAATTTAGAAAATATATTCAATGGTGTGTTTTCAATTATTTCTAGTATACCATATGCATAAACACATACATAACCCAATTGGTTGCAAAAAGATTAATGATAATGTCTAAAAACATTGGGTTGTTTATGTAAGATATCAAACTATGTGGGGTTGATCTTATATTATTTAAACTACAGGGTACGAAACTACTAATAATTGAGAAAAAAAATAGGGCCAGAGACCCTTGATGCGTGGATCCAGCTCATACACGAAAACATAAATTAACTCATTTTATAAACCTAACCTTAACAAATTATATTGTTATTTTTGTTCTCAAATATTTTTTACTTTGTTAAAAAAATATAATCTTTTTGCTTTTCATTTTTTTTTCTTTCATCATCTTATAATTTTCTAGAATTCTTTTTAACCAGGAATGACTTAACTAAACAATCCTCCCAATTTTTTTTTAGTTTCTATTTTCGATTTTTTATTTGGAAACTATATAAACCATGCCTCCTACATCTTATGAGACTATGACCTACATGTATTAATTTAGTGGGCAAAATACATTATAATATATGCTTTCATAAGTAAAACAGAATAATACATCAGCGCACATTCTAGCATATGATTAAGGCAACGCATTTTCTAACAACACTATACACGTATACACACAGCACAACACAACTACGTATATGTATACAGTATATCTGTACGTACATATGTGTATTCGCTCGTAAACTGAATCGTTAGCAAAAAAAATATTAAAATAGCAACAAATTTTTGCATAACCATAATAAGCTGAATAGAGTGGTGTTTGCTTCGGAAACTACTGATCTAGTTGGAGCCTCTACCAAAATCAAATATGCGGCTTTTGTTAATAGTCTAACAAAACATAAGATTAGCAGAAGTAGGAGATAAAAATATAGATTATTTTGTATTTTAAAATTGAGGTATTTTATAATTAATTTTTAAATGAATTCTCGCGATTGTGATTATCAAGCAAATTTAGATTCATATAAAAAGTATCGAATGGACTAAGACAATTTAAAGTCTATATACATTCTATGAATATTGATCCATGGCTTAGAATCTTAGATCACTCGTCTTAAATCTGAGTCACTCGTATGTAAATCTGTACTCGAATCTTGATCCGCAGTTTCCGACCTTTAATTTCTTTAAATATGTACATAGCCACTAACAATTACTTCCTTTAAGTTCTTTAGATCGTTCAGTTAATTCATCTTGGTAAGTTCTTTAGACCGATCACAAAACTTGAACCATTTAATTAACATTGAAGAAAATTTCTAACATTTAGATAAAAGTTAACTCCTTAACTAAGTGACTTTGGTTGAAGATCGCTACAAACTCTTCTTAAAATTTCACGAGTAAAGTCATATATATATATATATATATATGAATATATGATGTCAACAACTCTTCCGCTCGATGATGGTTCTGATAACATTTAGAGTCGGCCATGAAACTAAAGTATAAAACAAATTATGGCTAAAACCGAGTAATTAAACGTTTAGGCATAATATATGTAAAACAATTTGTTGGGTTTGATCATACCAAATGTTTTACTGTGGTCAAATGTTTACGAACATCACCCTATTTTCGTTTTAACTTTTTCTAATTAAGCATATATAAGACAAACAAAAAGAAAAAGGAAGCAAAACAAAAAGAAGTGCACAATTGCATTGCCACTTGCATGGTCGAAACCTTATTATAATGGAAACAACGAACCTAAGAGAGAGACACATACATATGATTCACATATGACATTTGTGTAACGTATCCAATAGTATTGGGAAAAGTGGCAACAACGCACTTTGGTAAGTGATATTGGTGGATCTCCTCCTATGCTTGCTTTCCACTATAACACTACTCATCAACCCTTTCTTTTTCCTTTAACCACAAAAATACTATGTAAAATATTTAGTTACATATTTTTTTTATATGAATTATCCCTACTTATTGGAATACAACCTGGTAGGATAAATGAACATTTTTCAAATTGTATGCAAGCAGGAAAAGGGTTAAATTTTATAAAGGTTTTCCAATACGATTATCTAATTAAGTTACAAAAGATAAAGTAAACCACTTTGATTATCTGTAAAAAATATTTCTATACCATATCCATAACCGCATACAAAAGTTTTATAATTTTTGTTTATAACAAGTGAACTTAGTAGTTTACAAATGGACGATATAGGTCACAACATTTGGGATTGTTATTGACTTTTGTCGTATGTATATAATCTTATAAAAGCCTCTGACCTGTAAAATTCATCATCAATATGTCGCATATTCTGATATTTGAACTTCATTTATAGATGTAAATTAAAGATGACTACTTGGTAAAGGGGTCACAGCTGTGACTTCCGCCACCAGGGTTCGAGGCACGGCCACTGGCAGGTTTATATAGGGGAATTGCCAGCCTCGTGGGATTAGTCCTTGGGCCTAAGAAGCTTTTGGGAGACCCGCGGTTAAAAAAAAAAAAAAAAAAAAAAAAAAAAAAAAAAAAAAAAAAAAAAAAAAAAAAAGATGCCTACTTGGTCTAATCCGTAGACATATAACATTTTCATATCCCAATTTTATGTAACCTTGTTTTTTGTAAAAGGGTTTATTTTTTTGTAATTTAAACAATCTCGATCGTATATCTTGAGATAATATATTATAGCTCCATAAAATATAACCATATATTCCTCCGCTTTTATATAATGAAACAAAATTGAGAAGGCAAAATATGATACGAAATTCTATTAACTGTTGATTGTTATTTATAAAATTAATTAACTGTTTCTTTTGTCTTAGCAATGATATTTTAATTTGTCTAAAAATATCAATGGTTATATATTTGAATTTTATAAAATTAATTTATTTATGTGTTTATAACTAACTGGTAACATTGTTGAGGTTGAAAGAAAAGAATTTCAAAAATATTGAGTTTCGAATAAAATCTCTTACACTATGCAAATTTAATATTTTGTCAATTTTACGAGATACTCTATGCTCATCTATTAAAATCTTAATCACATATGTTATATTTTATTTTTTCCTAAACCATTGTGATAGACATGTGAAACGAAATTTGTTCCAAATTTTCTACATATATTACAAAAAATTCTCCACAGTAGTTATTTGTTACATAATCCTCTTATTAGTACAAAAGAAAACCTATCAGCATGATCATAGAGTGTACTCATGAATGACTGAAAGCCTTCAAGTAAAGTGTTGCAGTAAAATATTTGAATAAAGAGTCAAGAGTAATGGAAGGTAATTTATGATTGAATTTGCCATAAAATTAAGATTACTGAAATGAATTTTCTATAAAATTTACCCCGTACAAACTCTAATTTAACAACTGTAGTGGTGATGCTCCAAGCGTTATAGAACGAAAGATGATGCGTAATCTTACATATATTTCAAGCAATTATGATCATTGCCTAAACAAATTCATATAATCCACCAAATTATATGTAAAACGGTTAACAAAGTACTAAACTAAATCAGAGTTAATAGTACCTAAAAACTTAGTATATAAAATATCCACATTATGTCAAAACTTATTAAGATATGCAAGAAGGAACGTCTCTCCACCAAATTGATTTTTGCACATTATGGGCAAGCATCAGAAGCAAGCCCCCATCTTTATATAAAGATTTAAGTATTATTGAGATTTTAATGATATTGATTATTGACCTCTGCTCAATAGTCAATCCTAACAAAATATAAACCATGAAATAAATAAAAAAGTGTTCATATTAAGCACAAACTTCTCATGATGTGGATACTTTAGATGTAGATAAAACTTCCTACTTGAATATATAGATTTGAAGATTTATATAATTTCGTTTGTTAATTGATAATATTTAATGCAATTAAATTCTGTTATTTGAGTTGTTTAAAATAAAATCAAAAACTCAAAGTTAGTGACCACATAATTAATAGTTGGTGTAGAGTCAATTTGAGGAGGAGCTTCCCCGTGATGCAACGTGTCAATGGTAAGTAGATAAGA